GGCTGTTATTTTTAAGAGCGGCTAAAAAAAATATATTTTTCTAACTTAAAAGGCTTCCCCATTTCTGTCACAAATTATTATCACCCATAAAACTTTTGGTGGGACAAGTGAATAAATACTCACGCGCAAAGATGACAGAGCTGAGCGAATTTGCAACTGCGAAGACGCCAACCATTTCTGAAATTATCTGACGTTGATTCTTCACAATGAAAGCAGGAACTTCTTGAGGAAAAAGAAGCCATTGAAGCTTTCAGAAGAGAAGCCAAAGGAACCCTAACGGTATTGTTGTTAAGCTTTGCCTGTTTTGTTTAGTAGCAGATTTACCTTTCACTTTGTAGTATTTTAGAGAGACAATTATTTCAATTGAAACCCGCGCCATTTGGATACAAGAAAGAGGAGGGAAATCAACCGACTTGGAGTGAAAGAGCGGGAATTTCTTTTGCAAATATAGCACTTGTAAAAATACCCCTTCCACACAAAATGTTAGACTCGGATCTAATATTTGCACATAGAGTATAATTTTTCAGTTTGCTCACATAATATTAATTTGTAGCCTAACGTTTGCCATAACTTATAGTAAAATTTTAGACCGTAGTCTAATATTTTCTCATAAAATATTTAGTTTCTTAGAAAAATCTTTAGATCGTGATTTAATTGATCCATCATTATAAACAAAAACTAAACAATTGATACAAAAAAGGACAATTAGTCACCAAGGCCCAACCATGGCCCATAAGGCGGGGATGTGTGAAATAATGGGTGATTGACATGAATGGCTCTACTAGGGGTGGTCTTTAAATATTGTCCTCGATTTTAAAGAGCAACAACGACAATAACAGCAACCTATTAAAATTTCACAAGTGGAGTCTGAGAAGGGTAGAGTGTACGCATACCTTACCCCTATCCCGGAGGGATAGAGAGGTTGTTTCTGAAAGACCTCGGCTCAAGAAGAAGAAAATAAATAATAGGCAATAGATCAATGATGGCACCAGAAGCCAGAAAAATAATACCAGCATCGTAAAAAATAAAAAATAAAAATGGAAAAGCAATAACAATAACGAGTAATAATGCCATAGAAAATAGTGTGAAAACTACATAAACCACTAACAAACTAAGGCGAAACATTATCAGCCTAGCCCCGCCCCTGATACAACATAGAAAAACGCTCAATTCTCTCCTAACCTACAACCATAATGCTCGACCTACACACCTTCCTATCAAGAGCCATGTCCTCGGAGATCTGAATTCGCGTCATGTCATGCCTGATCACCTCACCTCAATACTTCTTAAGTCGCACTCTACCTCTCCTTATACCTACCAATGTCAACCGCTCACACCTCCTAACCGGGGCATCTATGTTTCTCCTCCGCACGTGCCCGAACCATCTAAGCCTCGCTTCTCGCATCTTGTCGTCCATGGGAGCCACGCCCGCCTTCTCCCGAATATCTTCACTCCTAATCTTATCCAACCTAGTGTGCCCGCACATCCATCTCAACATCCTTATTTATGCCACTTTCATCTTCTGGGTATGAGAATTCTTGGTTGCCCAACACTTAACCCCGTAAAGCATGGTTGGTCTAATCACCGTTCTATAGAACTTGCCTTTAAGTTTCGGTGGCACTTTCTTGTTACACATACTCCAGATGTTAACCTCCATTTATTCCACACCACTCATATATGGTGTGTGACATCCTCGCCTATCTCCCCACCCCTAGATAATTGACCCAATGTACTTGAAACTTCTTCTCTTGAGGATGACTAGTGAGTCGAGCCTCACGTCCATGTTTGCTTCCCCCGACGCATCGTTGAACTTACACTCCAGATATTATGTCTTAGTACTACTCAACTTGAAACCTTTAGATTCAAGGGTTTGTCTCCAAACCTCCAGCTTTTCGTTAACGTCGTCTCGCGTTTCATCAATCAGAACTATATCATGAGCGAACAACATACACCATGGCATCTCCCATTGAATATGGTGTGTTAATGCATCCATTGCCAGGGCAAATAAGAGTGGGTTGAGCGCAGACCCTTGGTGCAACCCCATAACAACCAGAAAGTGCTCCGAGTCACCTCCCACAGTCCTAACCCGAGCCTTAGCTACCGGCACACTTTTCACCTCTAGGCATCTCCAAAGAACCTCCATGATAACCTTGTCATACACTTTCTCTAGGTCAATAAACATCATGTGCAAATCTTTCTTCCTATCCGTGTACTATTCCACCAACCTCCTCATAAGGTGGATAGCTTCTGTAGTAGAACGACCCGGCATGAAACCGAATTGGTTGTCGGATAGAGTCACTACCCTCCTTACCCTCCCTTCCACCACCATCTCCAAAACTTTCATGGTATGAATTAGTAACTTGATGCCCCTAATTGCCACTGATTTTAAACGTATTTAAAAATTTAACCTTCAGAAATACACACATACATTGCTTGTCAGGGATTCTCTACCGGAATAGTAGATATTATGCTATATTTACTCTACCATATTGACATAATTTGATGTTATATGCTTTCGACCTATTTGTTAAATTGTTCACAAACTTTATTGAGGTGGTATAATTTTGTGCTTGTTCAATTATTCACCAAACTCTACCACATTGGCATAAGTTTTCTGTGTTGTTTAACAAACCCTACCACATTGATCAATTTATTGATAAGCAATTTTCTGAAGTTTATTTTATGCATCTCTTTCTTTTTCCAAGATTGGTAATACTTTTATTTTATAAGCTCTTGCTTGTCTTTTGAAACATAGGCACTATACCAGTTTTAGATACTGCAACTAGCAACTATAGTGTAAATGGAATAGATAAATAGTAAAGTGAAATTGTGAATCTTTAAATGAAAGAACCAGAAAACTTTTCAGCTCTCTACTCGCATAATCCATAGTATGTGTTAGTTTTAATAAGAGGGTTCAAACTTCAGTTGAAGGAGCATGCTAGTTTTGTTTCAAGGTTGCTAATATTGGCTACATGTTAAATATTTTTGAAAAAAATGAACATAGTTTAAATAGTGTGGTTTTTGCAGATGTGTTGATCTCGGTGGATTTATGCAAATGTTCCCTTTTTAGACTGTCTGGATTTTATTTCAAAATTAAAAAGTTTTGCAAATATAGCACTTATAAAATTACCCCTTTCGCACAATGTTAGATTCGGATCTAATATTTGCTCATATAATTTTTAGTTTGCTAACAAAATATTAAATTGTAGTCCAATATTTGCCATAATTTATAAAATTTTAGAATGTAGTCTAATGTTTTCTCATAAGATTTTCAGTTTCCTAAAAAAGAATCTTTAGACTGTGATCTGATTGATCCATCAATTGTAAACAAAATAAGAAAAACTAAACAATTGATACAAAGAGGACATCTAGCGAAAACTTCATATAAAATTATACCCAAGGACCTTTAAAATGGATGATCTTGATTTTTGACTCTCCTTTGTCCCATGGGTGAATATATAATATCAAAAGTCAAAGTATCGCCCATGGAACAAGTGCGGAGCAATACTTGTTAAACTTAAAGTTATGCTAATCGGGTAAGTAGGGTCAAAAAACGAGAATGGCTCCTGAAATGTCCTATTTGTGTAAATCACCCGAAACCTAACGTTGATCTTAGTCGCTTAGGCCCGACCATGGCTCATAAGGCACACAGTGTGTGAAGTAAAATAATGAAAAAATGATATTGTATAGCCGTTCTCAATATATATATATATNTCGACTTTGGCGCAAAATGCAGGAAATTATTTTTGAATCCCGCGGAATTTATATTTTAAGAAACCGACCAACTTTGATCGCTTTTTCAATTAAAATAAATAAAAATTAATATTAAAAAAAACAACCAAAATTGGTCGGTTAATTCGGCCGGTCATTTAAAAAAACCGACCAACTTTGGTCGATAATTTTACTTTTTAATAAAACTGACCAACTTTGGTCGGTTATTTTCGTGCGAAAATATAATTAAATAGTATAAATCAATTAAAAGACAGTCTTAAAACAAAATGTACCAATTGTCTAGTGGTAGAATAGTATCCTGCCACAGTATAGACCCAGTTCGATTCCCAAATGGTGAATCTTTTTATTACATAATTAAAATATCGACCAACTTTGGTCGGGTTTTTTTGCAATTATTTTTTTTAATTCAATTGACCGACCAAAGACAAAGTGGGTTGCTCTGATGGTAAGCACCCTCCACTTCCAACCAAGAGATTGTGAGTTTGAGTCACCCCAAGAGCAAGGTGGGGAGTTCTTGGAGGGAAGGATGCCGAGGGTCTACTGGAAACAGTCTCTCTACCCAGGGGGGTAGAGGTAAGGTCTGCGTACACACTACCCTCCCCTGACCCCACTAGTGGGATTATCCTAGGTTGTTGTTGTTGTTGTTGTTGTAATTGACCGACCAAAGTTGGTCGGTAATTTCCGACCAACTTTGGTCGGTATGCCTTCCCGACCACAAAAATACCGTCCACAAGTAAATGGTCACGTTTTGGCCATTACTGACCAACGTTGGTCGGTTTTTACCGAATTTCTAGAAGTGTTCTAACATGCCTCATTACCAACTCAATTAATTAGAATGATTTTTCAGTTGTATATAATTATTGTATTAAACTTTTGTATTTAGTGTGTTTCAATATATTTTTTACTGTTGGATTCATTAGATTCAATGTTTATATTTACAGTATTCGCTATTTTATATTCAGTATATTCAAATGTATTTGTATTAGCAGCATTTTAGTTGTTCATAATAGATGTTATTACTGTTGTATTCAGTATATTTTATTGGTTGTATTCATTTTATTTCTATTTGTATTCAATGTGTTTTACTGTATTTCATTGTATTTTAAAATTAAATGTATTCACTATTTATATTTTATTCTATTTTACTGTTTGTATTCAGTATATTTCAATGTTTATATCATGTATTCATACATATTGTGTGTAAAGTATGCATCAATACACGTGCATTCAGTTGTATTAAAAAAATATAGATTTTTGAAATACACAAATACATGCAAAAAAAGTATTTATATAAAAATAAGATGTGTTTTAGTGAATTTGTACAGAATACAATATATTTGTATCATTGTATGTGACTAATAGCAAATAAGAGAAGAAAGTTTATCGGAGATGGCGTTTTCCGGCAAAGAAGAGAAGAAAGTTCATCGGAGATGGCGTTTTCCGGCAAAGAAGAGAAGAAAGTTTGTCGGATCCGTACAACAAATTTATAATAAGAGTTCATCACATTACTCATTTCCGTTCGAAAAATTCACTCTTTTTTGTTTCCTGAATGCCTTCTACTCTATTGTAATGTCTCTTTAGCCATCAATACTCGGGTGTGTATCTTGACTTGCTTGAAGAGATAGAGATTCTTCTTTCTCGTGAGCCATCAATATTAGGGCTAGAGTTGCTCAAAGAGACAAAAGGGAGAGAGAAAAGGTAGAAAAAATATGACAGAGAATCGAAGAGAGAGAGATTCTTCCATATCGTCGGCCATCAATAATAGGGCTTGAGTTGCTCGAAGAGAGAAGGAGGAGAGATAAAGAAGAAAAAATCTGAGAGAAAATCTTGTGTTAATTGAAAGAATGAAAGAGGAAAAACATAAATAGCGTATTTCATGCCTTAATAGTAGTATATACCATAAATACCTATTTTGCTATAAAATATAAAAGATAGCTATAAAAAATAATATTTAAAAATAAATTTAATTTATAATAAATATAATGTATACCTTTGCTATAGCAGGTAGAATTTTAAAAAAGAAAATTTGAAATAATTGATGTTGGGTTGCAACTCAATGGATGTGATGAGCCCTTCAGAAGAATGTCTTATAGTGCATATCCATGTCTGTCTGTTTGAGGATCTTATGTTACAACCGTGCATCAACTTCCAACACTTATCCTTGTCTGGGCGATCTTTCTTTCTTTCTTTCTTTTTTAAGGAAAAGGTTTTTATTTATTTTTTATTTAGCGCTCGGTACCTATTTTAAGACTCTGAGTAATTCATAGTCCTATCAAAAAAATTAAAAATGTTCCCTACTAAAAGCGATTTTATATTCAGTGCTCTATCTATGGTTTTTAAGTATGAATGTCAAAGAGTATATCTATGATTTTTAATTTTTATTTTTTATTTTTTATTTCTCACCCGGTGTTCGGTACCCGCATTGGAGCTCGACTATATCCGGATTCGCGTCGCGTAGAACCCCATTCGGGAGAAGCGCTCCCTACTAAAAATTTTTTTATACTCGGGGCTCGAACCCGACACGTCTGATTAAGGGAAAAACAGTCTCATCCATTGCACCAATTACTTTGGTGGTCTATGGTTTTGAATTTTTGACTGGTCTATTGGTGCACGTCTTTTTCCCTAAATTAAATGGGGTACATTTTTTGCTACTATTATGTCTTTTTTCCACAAATTAAAGGGGGCACATTTTTTGTTACTATTATGAGACATCTCGTATCAAACCACTCCCATAATAATTAATATCTACCCTTTATTTAATCGTAAAAATACATAAATTGCCCCAATAAACTTGTCCGATAAAATTATATCTTTATTATATGGACAACCTATTACTCCCTATACTTGTTTGAAATGGAATTGTTACCAACGTAAAATAGCACAATCTATTTTTGCCCTCGATGTGTATACATATAGGGACACGTATCATTGGCTCGTTTTTTCACCTTTTTCTTTGATAAAGTGGTAATTACTATTTTCACGACAAGTTTAGAGAGCAACTTATGTATTTCTAGTTATTTTTTAATTACTAAAACAAATGTTAATATAATTCAATTTCAAATATATCTTTTATGTTCTAAAATTTAAAACTCAAACCTATAATATAATGAAAATCTTTCTAAATAATTAGCATTAGTTACCATTTTATTGAAAATTAAGCTTTGAACCTAAAACAATATAGGGATTGTTACACAAGTATCCCATCCAATTCAATGTTTATTTTTTCTAGCAAGTATATATAAATTATATATCGATTATACACAGTTATATATATATTGTACATAAACTATACGCATATTATATATATACCAGCTATTTTCAGTTTAAGATATTAAGTGGACAACTATTTGGGTTAATTCTTCGAAAATATATAAAACATAGCGAGCGAGACAGAGATATAGAGAGAGATATGAAACATAATTACTCTAACAGACTAGGAGTCCATTACTTAACTGGTCACTCAACTATTCGAAATTATCTACCAAAGTCATCTTTCTTTCGTTTGTAACAACAAAGTCACTTAACTATGTCAATAGCACTCAGAAGGTCACTCAATTAGATTTCTCAAAATTTTGATCGCCAAATATCTATTTTACCCTCTAAATTATCAACTTTTATATTCTTTTTATTTTTTAGCTTATTAATATAATAATTTTTTTCTCCTTTTAATTTATATTATGGACTTACCTTAGAATAAATAAATTTTATTTATAATTAAAATAAAAATAGTATTTAAGCATATATAGTGTTGGAAGAATAAAATATTGAGCATAGTAGAAAGTTAATTAGAACAATTTGTTCGTAATAATAATTTTGATATTAACAAAAAAACTTAAAAAAATATTTACATAATTGAGAATGAAAGAAAATAAAGTTTTAAAATATATATTCCATGCACGTACTATAGAAAATAATTATTTAAAAATAAAAATATTTTTGTAATATATATTACATATTCTTGAATATTATGCTCAATTATATTATTATTTCGACATTATAATGCTAGATTTTTCTTTTTATAAATAAAATACTTTTGTTCTATAGGTAAGTCCATAGTGTTGATTAAAAAGAGAAAAAATCATAATATTAAAAAGGAAAAAAAAAAATAGAAGATAAAAGTTGATAATTTAGAGGGTAAAATAGGTATTTGGCAATCAAAAGTTTAATAAATCTGGTTGAGTGATCTTCTGAGTGCTATAGGCATAGTTAAGTGACGCTGATGATACAAACGAGAAAAAAGATAACTTTGATAGATAATTTCTGACAGGCACAAGCGAGTTTGAAAGTTGTAATGATAAGACATAATGTTAAGATCTCTTTTAAGCATAAAATATTTCCAAATAGTACTACATATTTGTTAAGGAAAGCACATATAATAATATTTCTAATGTCATTGTTACCCTTAAAATACGTTAATACTATATGTTAGTTTGTCAGTCTTATGTTTGTTATTTCTGGAACTACATATCTTAGATCTATCTCTAGTAATAAGGTTTGTAATATTTTGCCAAATCTTAGCAACTTATTTCTACTTTGACCAAAAAAAAAAGAGAATTATTATTATTATTATTATGGAGAACACGTTAGTAGAAGAGTATGCTTTTTGGTTTCTCACCCAGATATTCGATACTAGCATTGAGACCTGATTAAGTTCGGACTCGCACCGAAAAATTCCATATTAAAGATAAAAAGTTCCCTAACAAAAGTAACTCAATACGCAAAAATAAAATAAAAATAGTACTACTAATATAATAGTTACACAAAGATCCATCTCGTCAGCAAAAGTTATAATTGGCAGCTATTTACATCTGTTAATTTTTTGACTTAAATTTTTTGTGAATTTGAATGAAATTAAATGGTCACAGAGTTTGTATTCTCTATCACAAAATAGTAGTGGTTGAAGTTTTAAATCTTGATTTGCTAGTAGTTGTGGTGCTAAGCACAATAAATCAACATTAACTTTACCAATAATTCAGCATTAAATTTTACTAAATGAAATAAGGAAAGTTCTAGTACAATAAATAAAATTATACTTTAATCAACTACATTTAAAGTAGATCAGTTACATTTAAAATAAATAATTTAAGATCAACACAAAGTCTTAAGTGTGTAATAATCTTTGACAAGCGGATTGACTAGTTGATTAATTAATTAATAATGTTGATACTTTGCATTTAAAAATTCACGATTCTACGTGCTTTAAAATTTGTAAAATTCATTACATGGCTCCAACGAACGGCATGAGAAGGTCAAAGACAACCACGTTTTCGTCTTGTTCTCCCTTTAATTTATTTTAATCTAAACTTTTTCGACCATGACATATTAGTTATGTACATTTTCTCCGCCTATCCATGTTCCGTATTCGGATTGGGGTCTGATTAAATTTTGATTCACGGAGAAGTATTATATTATGTAGGGGCGGAGTTAGAGTGTCGGAAGCGAATTCGGCCAAATCCAATAACTTTGATCTGAATTCTGTATTTGTCTTAAAAATCTATTGAATATGTATAAATTATTAATTTTGAATCCGGTAACTTAATACGATTAGAATTTCAAACCCATAAACTTGAAATCCTGGCTCCGTCTATGATATTGGGATAAAGCGCTCTTAAGTAAATGTGACTCTGTACTTGTTGACTAGCGTTAGTGAACAAGCTAATAAATTAACTGTATTTAACTATGTAATTGTAGTCGAAGGTTAGTTAGTTAGTATAATATTAGGAGTTAGTTATAATGTACAGTATAAATATACTGTACTCATCGTATAAACGATACACTGTATCATTTCTTCTTCTTCTTCTTCTTCTTCTTCTTCTTCTTCTTCTTCAAAATAACAGAATTATGTTTCTCTTTTCCTCAAGCTCAATCCTCAGATCCATGGCAGCTAACATGGTATCAGAGCCGCCGAAGTAGATCGAAGGTAGTTCTCAAGTCAGTTTTTACACTTGTTACTTCAATTTTGCAATTCTTCTGAAAAATTATCCGATTATAGCGTGTAGTATAAAGTCTAGGGTTTACTCTTAAGAAGCAGCTGGAAATGGCGATTGGAGAAGAAACGGTAGGTGATACTTCACATCCAGCAACTACAACCTCTGGTAATGTCAATTCTGTCACCGGCGTAACTGCATTTTCGTCAATTGACTACAATCACCCACTATTTCTTCAACCAATAGACACTCCAGGTAGTACTCTGATCTCTCTTCGGCTTACTGGTTCAGATAACTACGCACTATGGAGTAGGTCTATGAGGATTGGATTGTTAGGGAAGAGCAAGTTAGGTTTTGTAAATGGTCGATTTCCTAAGTCCAGGTTTGAACCTGAACTTCATGACCAATGGGAGACAGTGAATGTTATAGTTCTCTCATGGACAATGAATGTAGTAAGGCGAGGTTTACTTAGTAGTGTAGTATATGCCTCTAATGCTCACAAGGTATGGGAAGACTTAAATGAGAGGTTCAACAAGGTCAATGGATCTAGGGTTCTGTATTTTCATAGGGAGATTCATACTCTTACTCAAGGTACCATGTCTGTTGTTGACTACTTTTCCAAATGGAGAGATCTTTGGGATGAATTTGATGCGTCAATGCTTTGTCCTGGCTGTCCTTATCCAGAGTCAAAGAAGTATGCTCAGCACTTTGAGTATCATAGGCTACTGCAGTTTCTAATGGGATTGAATGAGTCATACTTGTCGCGCCCTTTTTCTCGCGAAATCGGGCTTCTACATTGTGACAACTCTTTTGAAGGACGGGTGCTAAAAGAGAGAGTCGACACCTAACAGATTAAGGTGTGTTAGGGCACCTATTTTGCAAATAACTCTAGATTAATCAGTTCGCGTCACCAAAGTTCAGGTAAGGGCTCAAATTACCTTGAGGAGAAGGTGTTAGTCACTCCTCGAGGTCCACAACAGTGGTCCCGGCCGAACTCGAATTATATGAATTAGTCTAAGAGAAGGGAAGCAATTTGGGTAAATAAAATAGTTGACTTTAAACAAAGGTGGGCGGGGGGTCCTAAGTTTTTTTTTAGCCTAAAGGATCACCCTGTGCAATGTAATTAATACTTCGTAACTCCCTCAAGATGGGGTGTTACTCATATTATTCAGCGGGTATAGACTATCATCTCCTGCTACCCGATTACTATCTTTAA